CTCTGGTAGCGTAGTGCCTAAGGCACCTGACTGCTAACCAGAAGGCTGGCGGTTCAAACCCACCAGCCACTCCTTGGAAGGAAGATTGGGCAATCTGCTTCAGTAGTGATACTGCGGGGTTGCTATGAGTCGGGGGCAACTCGACAGCACATAACAACAACAACATATATAAAATGAATAGACTATTCATAAATCCTTATCCACATTTTCTGTTACATCGATTTTCCTTGGTTAGATAGTATATTTGCTTGTATACCACTGAAAAATTAGAAGTAACTTTTTGATTAAAAAAACAAGCAAGGGAAAAACCAATCAAATAGAAAGGATTGACTGATTTTAATCCCACAAAGAATTTTTTATGTTTTACTGATTTATTTACTTTGGAGTATATTCTTTCTTATTAGGTTATCTGATTTATTGTTAGATACTATGGGGTTAACTTTATCCAAGTCTTCATCCTTGGTTCTTGAGAGCTAACTTCTAAAATCTTGCAATTTACTCGGTGATTGAAATGTCTTAGAGACATCCAGACCACACCTAACAGGTTGTCATAGACTGAATTTTGTCATCCCAAAACACATCAACTTGGCTGGACTGTGATTCTCAGTGGTTTGGCAGTTATGTAATAATGCAACCGTTCCCTATAATGTGGTCTGACGTGATCAGCCACAGATTAGGGTGGGATACAGCAGCCCCACTCAGGTCAAAGCCCTGATCTGATTTAAGATGTAAGGGAATTTCCCTGGGGTGTGGCCTGCATCTCCTTTTATCTTCTAAGAGATAAAAGGAGAGAGATTAAAGCAGAAAAGGTGGGGGTCTGACTATCCCTAAGGAAAAAGAGCTGAGAGTAGAGCACATCCTTTAGACCGAGCGTCCCTACATTGAGAACCAACCTCCTAGACCCAGGGGAAGACTGATGCCAAGACATAGGGAGATCTCCAAGGGATGCAGGGCCCACAGATGTTGAAAGGTGACAAAGATCTTCTCCTAGAGTTGACAGAGAAAGTCTTCCCCTAAAGCTGGTCCTTGGAATTTGGACTTCCAGCCTCTTAAACTGTGAGTGAATAAATTAGTAAAAGCCATCCACTAGTGAGGAGAGCTTTAATACTGGAGATGGCACATGTGGCGAGAAGCAGTGGCAGAGAAACAGTGGCAGCAGAACCAGGGGCTGACCCCCCGAGCAAGGGAGCTGAGTGCTTTTAGGCAGAAGGCTTCCTGATGGAGTGAGGTGCCTCTGGGCACTTGTCAACAGAGCTAAGCTTGCTGATCCATGAAGCAAGACAGCTGAGTGCCTTTGGGCTGAGGCTTACTGGCTGAATGGGGTGTCTCTGCATTATTATTAGCAGAGTTAAAAAGTTTTGTTACACTTGCCTGAGCAGGGCTGAGGTCAGGCCTGCCCAAAAGGTCTGAAGGGCCAAGAGGTCAAGGAACCAAGTAGCAGAACCTGAAGAGACAAAGAACACAGGAAGCAGAGCTACACTGGTCTCAAAGGGCAGGGCCACGGGGCTGAGGGTGTGGGTTCTCCACCCAGCTGAGCCAGAAGAATGGGGCTGCCCAAAGCTGAAGAAGAGGAGCTGCTGTCCCAGTGGGCCTGAAAAATGGAAGTGAATCCCAGGGCTAATTCCATCTGGGTGTTGGCCATCCAGGATTCAGAGAATGTGGCCAGCACCCGTATTCTGGAAGGTAGGGCCACTGCCTAGATGGTCTCAAAGAACAGAGGATTATTTTCAAGCCTTGAGACCCAATGTAAATTGTTCTGCTAGATTTTTGACTTGCTTGGTGTCCATTAACCCTACTTTCCCTCATTTCTCCCAAATATCTACCATGTGCCTGTTCCACTACTGTACTTTAGAAGCAGACAACTTACATTCTAGATTCAGAGATGAAGAAGGATTTTGCTCCAGTATGGAATTTGGACTTGGAAATGATTTAAGACTTCTGAGATGATATGATAAAGTGAAAGTGTTTTACATATGGCAAGGACATGAATTTTGGGGGGTCAAAGGGTGTGGAATGTTGTGGATTAAATTGTATCCCCCCCAAATACGTGTTAACTCAGCTGAGCCATGATTCTCAATGGTTTGGCAGTTATATAATGATATAAATTGGTAGTTATGATCGATGCAACAATCCCTTATAATATGATCTGATGTGATCAGCCAATCAGTTATATAGAAGTAGGGAGGGGTACAATACCCTTACTCAGGTGAGAGCCCTGATTCAGTGTAAGGGGAATTTCGCTGGGCTGTGGCCTGTATTACTTTTTTATCTTACAGGAGATAAAAGGAGATAGAAGTGAGTAGAGAAGGAGGGACCTGACTATTACCGAGAAAGAAAACGTAGGAACAGAAAGTACTACCCTTTGGACTCAGGGTTTCTGTGCTGAGAATCTACTATACTCAGGGGAAGACTGATGCCAAGACACATTGAGCTTTCCAAGGAATGTTGGGCTCACAGATGTTGAAAGGAGACAAAGACCTTCCCCCAGAGTTGACAGACAAAGTCTTCCCTTAGAGTTGATGCCTTGAATTTGGATTTCTGACCTCCTAGACTATGAAAGCTAAGCAGAAGGCTGGTGGATCAAACATACCAGCCACTCCTCAAAAGGGAGACTGGGCAATCTACTTCTGTAGAGATACCACTTCAGAAACCCAAGGAGGGGTCGCTAGGAGTTGCCATTGACTTGAAGACAGTTTGGTTTTTTGGTTTAGACTATGAGAGAATGAATTTCTACTTGTGGTATTTCTGTTACAGCAGTACTACATAACTAAGACACAGGTTATACTAACGAGGTGATGCAGGTTGGTGCTGACCACACTCCAATATGTGATATCCATTGATCTTAGGGAAGAGAACTAGGTTTTGAATTATGTAATTAGCTACAATGAAAGCTCTGGACATGGAAGGTCTACGGGCTTCCTGGGTGGTGAAAGGAATTGATTTAGGTGGGAGGGTAGCAAATCCCTTTTTGGGACATAGAAGCTCTACACTGGGAATCCCTCTAGACTTCACTGTATGTCTCTCTTCATTTGTATCCTTTTTGCTAGAATAAAAGTGTAAACAAAAGTATAGTACTTTCCATGAGTTCTATGAGTCACTTTGGCAAATTACCAAACCCAAAGAAGTAGCGGCAGCCAAGTCAGAAGTGAGGTGGGCTGGCATCCTGAAGGGATAGTGGAAAAACTCCTAATTTGTAACCAGCAGGTAAGAAGTGAGGGAGAAATTCCAACCTGAGGCTGGTCTCTGAGATTCTGGGCAGAGTTCACAGTCTGAAGGACTATGCCCTCTAATTTCTGAGGTCAGACATAACTTTAGGTGGTTAGGGTCAGAGGAGGAATTGTTGCTTAAGCAGTTGGTGTCAGAACAGAAATGGAACAGAGTGGGAACAGATAAGGAGTTGAACTGATCCTTACACTTTAGTGTGAGAAATGGCACTTGATTTTTACAAACAGGTAATAAAAGAAAACTATGCACTAACCTACTAAATCTTCCCTGGAAGCAGCAGAACGCGGTGTGCTTGTCCCTGGCTCTATCTTTAATGAAAGCCTGAATTTTAAAAAGAAATGAGACATATAAAATTATTAATATTTGACAAAATAATATTGTCACTCACAAAAAAATTAAAAACATGTTTTATAGAATATTCAGCTCTATATTTTCCTTCAAGAGCACTCCTGAATAGTCAAGCCTTCTATCTTTTTCATTCAAAGCCAATCTTACCACTAGGCAGAAAAAAACTTTAAGAAGTTGTATTTAAAAACATAGAACTCTCCCCAAGCTATCCTAAAGGTGCCAAACAATTCAACATTTTTAAAGATACTTGTTAAATGACTAAAAGGTGATTTGACTTGAGGCCATTGATATCTGACACTTAAATTCAGGAAATTTAATACATACATTTAGTATATTACACAAATTCTTTTTAAGAATCTTTACTAGATGGGTGGTTGACTTTACTGTAGCACTAAGAATTTAAAAATCACCTTATTAAAAACTAACCAACTAATGAACCAACAAACTCAACTTATCAAAACAAAGATCTATACAGATAAAAAACGTTGTTGGTTCTAGCCTTGGTGAAACTCTGACCTAAGTCAAAGTTTACTGGTTTATTAGTTCCACTTAGGATAGATAACATATCCAGTTTTGAGTTCCACAGCAAAAGAGATTATCATTCCTATCAGTGGAAATTATTTCAGAAAATAGGATTGAAGCAGTGGTAGAAAATACTTTGCTGTAGTCCATGACTCCTACTAGTACTAAGCATTTGTCTAAATATTAATAAAAACTGTTTAGTATTCTATCAACTGCAATTTTTATGAAAACTGTACAAGTGATATTCATAATGATAAATATACTACAAGTTAACTTATTATTTCTTTGATAACTGAGGAATAAAGTAATATGATTATATTCCGATTATTTGACAATGTAAAATTCACATACTAAACAGATGTATGATTATCCAGAACCTACTTTTATTATGTAAGCTGTAATCACTGATTTGATATTTTCTGAACTTCTATTTTGTGTTAGGTATTATGCTCAGTGCTGTGAATATATTAGAGACTAAGACAGACATAGTGTCCCTATGACACTATGTAAGCTTCTGAAGCTTACAGTCTAGGAGACAAGTCCACCACCACTGAGTTGACTCCAACTCATTGCGACCCTGCAGGACACAGTAAAACTGCTCCATGGAGTTTCTGAGGCTGTAAATCTTTACAGAAGCAGACTGCCTCATTTCTCCCACAGAGCAGCTAGTGGGTTTGAACTGCCAAGTTTTTCTGTTGCTAACCAAAAGGCTGTCAGTTCAAATGCACCAGCCGCTCTGTGGGAGAAAAATGAGGCAATCTGCTTCTGTAAAGATTTACAGCTGTGAAAACCCTAAGGAGCAGTTCTACTCATTCTATAGGGGACAAAGAAGTAAGCAAAACTACAATTTCTTAATGTAGCACCAACAAAGAAAGGAATAGAAAGGAATAAAAAGAGTTGTGGAGTGAATCACAATGCTTTCAGTAGCTGCAAATAACTGAAAAGCGGTATTAAGAAAAAAATAGCAAAAGGAGCTTGAAAAGCACAGAAGTGAGGGCTAGTCAAGGGTATTAGCTTTGTGCAGTATCATCATACCACCACACAATTAACAGTGATGCTGACGAGAAAAGATACTATGTTCAGCATTAAAATGAAATAATTTAGACAGATTTTCATTGTGCTTAAAGCACACGCATGTAACTTGTTCTATCTAGACTGGCTGACTAAACAGATGAAGTTGGCATACAGAAATAAGGGAAGCGTCATTTTCATTTAAATATTTTTCATCGTAAAAACCATTTTTTCCCCTAACAATTTCAATGGCTCTTAATTGAAAATGCTCTAGAGGTTGCCATGAATTGGAACTGTGAAGACAACTAATAATAGTTTTCAACATGTTTAATTATGTAGGTTTATGAAACACAACTGCATCTTTTTTTTGGGGGGGGGTAGGGTGTGGGAAGAAAAAAGCCAAAACTATTCTCTCCAGTGTTTTAACACTACCAAATAATTTGTAGTTCCCCATGCATACACACAGTTTCTCACCCCATCCTTTGCTCATTCGTTCTTGTGGAATGCCTTTCTTTACCCTTCATGTGGGACTAACTTCTACTCACCTGCTAAGATCTAGCTCAGGTGATTGTATCTCCTGAAGCTGTTCTTTCTCTGCTGAAAGTGGGATTCCAAAACCAAACCAGACCTTTTTAGGCCTCCTCTTACCTAGGTTCCCATAATGCTCAGGGCATAACCCTATATAGCACTGTTTAAACTATTTTATGATTGGCCATTTGGTGGATATGTTTTGCATTAGATTGCAATTAAACTGTAATCCCAGTAATTAGCACAGTGCTCCTATAGCAAAAGCTTGATAAATATAAGTAGTCCCCAACTTAGGACTCACTGGAGTTACAACGAATCACACTTCCAAAAAAACCCCAAACCCACTGCCATTGACTGGATTCTGACTCATAGCGACCCTACAGGGCAGAATAGAACTGCCTCATAGGGTTTCCAAGGATGTAAATCTTTACAGAAGCAGACTAGTTCATCTATCTCCCATGGAACAACTGGTATGTTTGAACCACTGACCTTCTGGTTAGCAGCTGAATGCTTTAACCACTATACTACCAGAGCTCCTGGGATCACACTTAGCACTGTCTTTTTTTTTTTTTTTCTCTCTCCAGTATATCTTAACATTAGTTAATAATATGTTGCAGTGTGTAATCTACTGATGCTATCATTTTCAGACGTTTACTCACAGATGTTCAATTTTATGATTTACTGTTCAAAAGACTGCCAGATTTATAAAGATACTAATAACAAAACGCAGTAACAATGAAAACTGAAAAAAAAAAATGAGGTATTCAATTTACATCAGAACTGACTTATGATAGCTGTCAGAAGGGAGACCCATGTTTAAGTCAGGGATTACCTGGATTTAAAAAATATAATGGGTAGGTTGTGCTGCTTCTAGTTACTCATGAAAACAAAAATCAGTAACAGCATCAGCTTTCTCACAATAACAATATATCTTTAATATATCAGTTTATAGACAGACATTATTACTTAGTGGCTGAAATGGCTAAATCTATCCTTTTAGCAAAGTAAATATGATCGTCAATAAACACTTTACTATGGTAATTAAAATTCACCATCTTCTAGAATTGTGCATAAACTTCTTAAACTGAACTACTATTTAATAGTTAAAATGTAACATCTTTTACATTCAGTAAGTTTCTTGAGCCAGATAAAGAAATTTTTAATAGCTTACTCATATTCTGAATTTTAAAATAGTATCTTCTATATTTCCTTAGACAAAACGTGTATGTTTATTCTACATAAGTGCTATGCCAATAATTAGAAAGGTATGGTGAGAAACAGTGGTAGCTATAACATACAGACTATCAAACTGAAGAAGCTTACAATCTAAGGCAACAAGAGACTTATGAAACAACTCCAGCCTAAAGCTGATCCACTTATTCCATAGATTTTTTTTAGATAAGCTACCATGTAAAGACTTTTTGTAAAATAAAACTTGGTATGGAAATAATAAAGTGGTAATATTATGGTGTGGGAGAAGATTATAATAAAGGTATTTTCAAACATTAATAAAATTTTAGAACCAGTTAAGTATATATTGAGAGCTTCTGTAATATATTTAATATTGGGAAAAAAATATTTGTAGTTATTTTTCACAATTTCTAGACTTTTACTAGCATTAATTGTGTACTGCAGAATTCTTTAAAAATTACTGAAACTTATGAAACAGGGAAGCTGATCTTCACTACTATATGAGATAAGATAGATCAATGTGTATATTGATTACTATACACTATACTTGCCTGCTAACCAGACGGCTGGCGGTTCAAACCCACCAGCCACTCCTCAGAAGGAAGGTTGGGCAATCCTACTTCTGTAGTGATACTGCCTTGGAAACCCAAGGAGGGGTCGCTATGAGTCGGGTTTGACTCGACGGCACATAACAACAACAACAACATATATGTATCTACATATATATGGTATATTCACTCTGAAAAACAATCTAGTCTTTTTACTTTGATAACATTTTTAAATAGAAAAAATATTTGCAGAAGACAAAGTTTAATTTTAAAGCTGGGAAACAATTAGCAAAATAAAGCTAAGTTAAAAAAAAAAAACTTTAAGAAATGCAGCTAAAAAGAAAAATGAGAAGCCTCAAGAGAAATAAATTTCTTTATTGCCACACGTTTTGGAAAAAACATAGCAATTATGATAGATACCATACAACTGAATGAGAAAAAGGGTTAATAATTCAAAAATCCCCCACCATCTTGGGCAGTACTGTGAATGGCAGGGAGGAAGAAATGGATTTTATTGATTTTAAAAGTGATTTAAAATAATTCTTAACAAAGGACTTGCTATGATATACAAAAAAGAGTAATGAAGTATGGTGCTACACTGTGGAAATAAGTCTTTTATCTAGAGGCGAGAAGGTTCAATATTCTCTCAATACCAGAAAGTAAGCTCAAAGATGTGTCAAAAAATAACCGAACAAGGAACAATTTCTTAATTTTAGACTGTTACATTACATTTCAGTGTATCAGGAGATAAATATTCGTAACGATTTAATATCTGAATATATGGGGAAAGGAAGAAATTTAAATCACTATAATAATTACCAAACATTAGCTCTCAACAACTTGAGAAAACTGAAAAACATTTTAATGAAAGAATATATATTTGTATATTGGCTCAATTATATTGTGATGATATAAAGTGATTATTTCTACTACTGCAAATTTACCACTGTGTTAGACACTTGTATGGCATTTATATGACACAATGTGGATGGAAGTGTAGAGGACAGGACAAAGTTATACAAACCACCTTTGAAGATCAAACCTACTTGTAATTATCATCTTCCACAAACTTCTGGAGTTCTTCTATATACTGAACAGAGTTCAGATACTTTTGGACATGAGGCAACATGGGAATATCTAGGCAAAAGATTTACAGATAAATACTTTATCAGTAATTATTCTATAGTATAAATAAAGTAATATTGCTTTATAAGTAATTATTCTATAAAGTAGATTTTAATCAAAATTTTACAAGTTAATTTTAAAAAGAAAAAATCTGTTATCTTATAACGTGCATTGTTAAGTAGAACTTTAAAAGTTTAAAAGAAAAATATATTGAAAAGTAAATTAAGGCCACATGGAACCAAAATTTAACTTTAGAAGGACATTACTGAGGTAAATATACTTGATACTACACTGAAGATGATTTAGAAATCTTAACCGGATTGTAATGGAGAAACCATTGAGTTATAAAAAGTATTGGTAACACAGACACAAATTACAGTTGCATCCTGTTTGTAAAATATTTTATAAAACAGCTTCATTTACAAAGCCTCACTTACTTCAGAAATTTCATAAGAAAAATCAGGGACTTCATTTTAAATGCAAGACATAAAGGCAGTTTTTTTTTTTTTTTTTAAAAAAAGAAAGAAATCTGGCTCCCATTTGTAAATGTTTGTTTCCTCCCTGTATGTATACAGACAAGATTTTAAGTAAGATTGATGTATCATTAAGGAGCTCCAGTGGTGTGGTAGATAAGGCATTTGGCTGCTAACCAGAAGATCCGTGATTCAAACCCATCAGAGACTTCACAGAAGGAAGATGGGCAAATCTACTTCCACAAAGATTTACAGACTTGGAAACCTAATGGGGTCGCTGAGTCATAATCGACTAGTAGACAGTGAGGTTATTTTTTCTGCGTATGAATTCATCGTTATTAAGTTGTTATGTTAAAAAAAAATTGAAGAAAGGCTAGAATAAGACATGATTTAATTTTCAATAAGGTACTCTCCTTGGACACATTTTTAGGTATAGGTGTATACAAATAAAGTTAGCTTTAAGACAAATTTATTTTAAATAAATCAAATAAGGCAACTTCATTGTTTTGTGTATCATAAAAATGATATATAGGATTGATGAAAAATATTCTGACCACTAGGGTTAAGAATAAAAGTTTAATAGCATCAATGGATTTTTAATGGTTTCATGTTTAAAGGGCATTGGTAGCCTTCTGACAATTAACAGTTAAAAAAACCCAAAAACATTAATAGTGCCACTGTTCTCAATTCAAATGCAAAAAAAAAAACATTAAGCATGACAACTCAGCTTAAACATTTTCAAACATAAAGAACAAATGTAAAAAAACACCAACAGTCAACTTTATTCCCTATCAAACTGTAAGTATCCAAACATTTTAAAATCATTTGTAAAATCTCCTTTTCTAATCATTTGAGTTGCCTTAGCTCTTTCCAGATGTCTTTCCATAAAATATACTTTGGACAAGGATTGGTTATTTACTCAGTATCTGACTCAAAAAAGCTAGCTGAATGTCAGTAAAATTAAGGGTCTCAGCTCCTTCTCTGACTGAAAAATATTAGATCTATTCACATAGTAAATAAAGGAGATCAAATGAGATGACGATAATATAAATAATAACTGTGAAAGTGGTGATATATTTATTGTCTTTGTGCTCTGTAAGCAAAACTGCTAAAAATAGGAGAACAAACGATGAAAACTTAAAATTTACATAGTAAATACTTCAGTGCCTTAAAAGCAAGGTTTTAAACAGGATACAAAGTATTAAATAATAGAATAAAAAAATAACTATTATCTTCTTTCAGGTTATGATGGAAATAAGAAAGTGATATTACTGGCTGTGTGAAAGTGGCTTTCAACAGGTAGGTATGAATGAATCAAAAGATCCACAGCATGATAATGGTACAGCATTAATCCCCACAAGCTTACCATATTCACAGGACTGCTGTAAATCAGAAATTATTCTAAGGATGTTATTCATTAAATTTGATCTTTGCTCATTTTCTAGAATGCTGCCAGTTGACGGGTATGCTGAATCAATGTAAGTTAAATCTGACAAATAGATACCTGAAACAAAATTAGATAAATGAGTACTTGTAGTCTTACTTGTAGTTTGGAAGAGTATGAAAAAGCAAAGGTAAGGGAGAATTCTTTTATAGCTATATTTCAATATATGTCATATTTTAAATATATTGCTATTAATATACTACAGCCTTATTAAAACATGTACACTGAAGCTAGATTACACAGAGTTGGGGGTCAGACATACAAATAACACGTTTCTTATAAATATTTAAATAAAATGCCTTATGATACCATTTAAAGGACGGCTTGCTTCTGTCATTAGAGAGAAACTCTAGCACATGGGGACCTAATAAAAAGGTTAAGCTCTTGAACTGGCTCTGCCTCTGATTAGTTCAACAATGGAAACAGTTATTTTAATCTCTCTGAACCTCAGTTTTTGAATTCATATAACTAGAACTTATTCTCCAAGTTGTGGTAAAACCTGAAAAAGTTAATGGAAGTTGTGTACTCCTTGCCATGAGTTGGTAATGACTATCATTACAGTCTAAACCAATTTGAAAATGGTCTCATTCTGGTAGAAATGTCTTTTTCTAATAGATATGTGAAATAGTTCATGTGACTATAAACTGAAGTTAACCCTTTCCTATCCCATTTTCTCGATACCAAAAAAAATATGCCCCCCCCTCCCAATAATTTGGCTCTGGTGGCATAGTGCCTAAGGCATTTGACTGCTAACCAGAAGGCTGGCAGTTCAAGCCCACCAGCCACTCCACAGAAGGAAGACTGGGCAATCTATTTCCATAAAGACTTACCATCTCGGAAACCCAAAGAGGTCATTGTTTAAAATATTTACTTAGCATTTACTAGGCACATGTAAGGGAGCTCTGGTGGCGTAGTGCCTAAGGCACTTGATTGCTAACCAGAAAACTGGCAGTTCAAACCCACCAGTGGAAGGAAGGTTGGGCAATCTACTTCCGTAGTTCTACCACCTCAGAAACCCAAAGAGGCATCACTGAGTTGGGTCCAACTCGATGGCACATAACAACAACAGGCACATGTAAAAATGTATAAGACACATACATCACTATGGTTGAGAGAGAAAATACATGCTTTCTCTCTTTTACCTCATTACTCTGTGTTCATGAATTCCCAGGGTAAATACAAGGTAAATGATATACTCAGTATCTTCCAAATAAGACTTATGTTTTTTCTCATGCTATTTCCTCTATCTTGTTTTCTAGACTTATCTCTGCCCATTCAAATCTTATTTTTTCCCGGATAACTTAGTGTCAACTATTCTGTCCTCTCACAGATTCGAAGTAACTTAGAAACTCCCTAGAGTCTGACCTCTTCTCTTTATAGATGAAGAACTTCAGGTTCACGCAATTGGGGCCTCTGATGGAGCTGTGGTAGTGTAGTGCCTAAGGCACTTGATCACTAACCAGAAGGCTGGTGGTTCAAACTCACCAGCTACTTCTTGGGAGGAAGATTGGGCAATCTACTTCCATAATGATACTGCCTTGGAAACTCAAGGAGGGGTCGCTATGAGTCGGGTCCAACTAGAAGGCACATAACAACAGCAGCAACAACAACAACGGCATGAAACTCATTAGTGAGAGAACCAGATCTCAAACTGGTTTCATGTATAGTTCAAGCATTTTATTACACACTGTTTATAAATGCATACATTATCTATACCATACATGTGTTAATTTTTATGACTTTATCATCTTTTTAATCATTTAAATTTTCTTGTATTTACATCTTATCTGTTCAAGACTATAAACTCATTTAGAGCAATTGCTCTATCTTGCACATGAAAATCCCCATGCAGTGTTTTGACATAGCAACTCAATAGGCCTCATGGGGTTTCCCAGGCTGTAATCTTTACAGGAGCAGATTGCAGGTCTTTTCTCCTACTAAGTGGCTGGTAGTTAGCAGCCATCAGGGTTCTGTGTTTTCACAATAGGTACTTGATCACTTTTGCCAGTTGGCCTGACAAAGCTTTTACTCATTCTAGGATCACTCCTTTCCACTCAGTAAATCTTTGTAAGTATTCTTTAAGCTATCTATTATACATCCTTGTTTTTTTACTTTAGAAAATCTCAACTTTTTCTATGACCCCAAATGAATCTACAGCCTGGTTCCTTTCCACTGATCTCATTTCTTGCCCCTAATACCACTTACTCCCCACTGGTTCTTTGCCCAGAGCCAATAAAACAAACAAATCAGCTGCTGGTGAGTTGACTCTGACTCCATGCAATCCTCCACATGCATCAGAGCAGAGCTTTGCTCCACAGGGTTTTTTTGGCTGAGTTTTCAGAAGTTGCTCTTTAGGCCTTTCTTCCGAGGTGTCTCTGGATGGAGCCAAATCTCCAAGCTTTCGGTTAGTGGTCGAACGCGTTAATCACTCGTACCATCCAGAGATTATACACACTTAAATTTCCCGTTTAAGGAAATAAAACAAAAGCAACCCTTCCTTCAAATTTGATCCCCTCAAGATAGATCCCTGCCTCTCTCCCTTCAATAAACACCTTGAAAGAGAAATACAGAATAGTACACTTACTGCCTTATTTTATGCTTTCCTATTTTTAATGTATTATTTGATACACATAAAAGTTAACATACATCAGGAAAAACTGTGAAAGACTTTGAAACGGGCAAAAAAGATTACTAGATGACCCATCTCTGGGGCATCCTTTTGGCTTTTAGAGCTATTTCACAACTCTGTAAATTGTTGAACACTGGCAATAAAAATTCTTGTCCATAGAAATCCCAGAGAATTTTGTAAAGTGGAATGTAACTGATTACCCTGTGGATACTGACCAATTGTAAATTCTTTTCAGCATTTCTGATTGCACATATATATAACTTTGAATCTTCCCTTGAAATGGTTGTAATATGTTACTGATTTCCTTATTAATTTAATGACTTAAGTAAAATCTTTGACATGTATATTTTTTATATCTGTGTGAGAGTCGTAATTTATCCTTAAAAAAATTATCCTTCAAAGCAGTAAGTTTCTGTTCAGTGATGGGAAATTTGGCAATGGCAGTGGGGGACTGCTGTACAACATAATTATCACTGAACTGTACACCTGAACAATGTTGAACTAGCAAATGTTGCTTACCATCATTACAATAAAAAAAACTTTAAAAAATCATCCTTTAATATATGATGTAATAAAATCAACATCTGCAAACCACCAGTCAACTCGAGGAGTGAAAATCACCAAGATGGTTGGACTTACTATGCTCCTTCCTTATCTCATCTCCCTGCCTCTTGTCCAGAGGTTACCACTATTCTGAGTTTTAAGATTAACATGCCCCTTTGTTTGTTTTCTAGGACATGTATGTCTATATCCTGTACAATATAGTGTTTACTTTTGACCCTTTTAAAAAATGTATTTTATGTATGTGTGATTAAATCAATATTTGTAAAGTAGTTAGAACAGTGGCTGGTATATAATAAGCAACTTACAAGTACTTGTTAAATACATTTAAAAAATAAAATCTTCTGTGATTGCTTTCTCTCACAATTTTGTTTCAAAGACTTATCTATGATATTAAATGTAGCTGTATTTCATTCCTTAAATGGAGAATAAACTAATGCATAGCTATATTATAAGGAGCTCTGGTGGTGCAGTGGTTAAAGGACCTGACTGCTAACCAAAAGGTTGGTGGTTTGAACCCACCAGTCTTTTCGCAGGAAAAAGATGTGGCAGTCAGCTTCTGTAAAGATTTACAACCTTGGAAACCACATGTTGTTGTTGTTGTTGTTATGTGCCATCGAGTCGGCCCCGACTCATAGCGACCCCTCCTTGGGTTTCCGAGGCAGTATCACTACGGAAGTAGGATTGCCCAACCTTCCTTCCGAGGAGTGGCTGGTGGGTTTGAACCGCCAGCCGTCTGGTTAGCACATAGGGGCAGAGTATTCTACTCAGTCCCACAGGATTGCTATGAGTCAGAACAGACTGGCCAGCAATGGGTAGGTTAAGATATATTAAAGGAGCTCTAGTGATACAGTGGTTAAATGCTCAGCTGCTAACCGAAAGATTGGGGTTTAAACCTTCCATCCACTCTGTGGGAGAAAGATGTGGCAGTCTGCTTCTGTTACAGATTATAGCCTTGAAAACCCTATGAGATGGCTTTACTCTGCCCTGTAGGGTTGCTATGAGTTGAAATTGACATGATAGCAATTGGAGGAAGATACATTAATGTGCAACTGGACAATGCCACAGTGTTTTTAAAAGCAACAATTCACATTCCCACTGACAGAACATAGTTTCTGCTGATGCACATCTGCACTAACATTTAATATTTCAGTTGTATTAATTTTTGCCAATCTTGTGAGTATAAAATGTTGGATCATCTAAACTTTCATTTCTTTAGTTAATAATGAAGCTAACCACTTTTGTTTCTATGAAATGCCTTTTACCTAATTTTCCCTCTTGGGTTGTCATTTTTTCATTAATTTCTAAGTTCCATTTAAAAAAAAAAAAAAAATTAAATTTCTAAATTCTTAATCTATTACAGAAACAAATCCTTTGTCAGTTAAATGCTATCCAGTCAAAGTCTGAGATCCACATCTACTACACTACTAAAATTAATTTTGGTAAAGACATTAATGACCTACTGCTTTATTTAATCCTTTAATATTTTTCTTCATCTCCTCCATCTACTTAAATCTCTCTGCAGATTTTTTTTTTTTTTTTTAACTATTTCCTTATATGTAGGAGGTCTGGTGGCATAATGTCTAAGGCATGTGACTGCTAACCAGAAGGCTGGGGTTCAAACCCCCCAGCCACTCCCTGGAAGGAAGATAGGGCAAACTACTTCCGTAGTGATACTGCCTCGGAAACATGAGGGGGGGTCGCTATGAGTCAGGTATGACTCGACGGCACATAACAACAACTTTTCCTTATATGTAGGTCTCTTTTTCTGATTCTTTTTGCGTGTTCCTTAGAAGCTGGTATTCCCATGGTTCTGTCATTATCTTCTCACTTTATATATACTTTCTCTGTAGTATCTTAGCAATTCTGT